CACACTTAAACCTGTGAAACATTACTTTAAATGAATTATTGCATTTGCCATGCAAGTGACGTATTTATTTAAAGGAAGTCTACGCAAAGCACCTAATAGAGTTTCTGTAGTTTTCATTAAAGTTGATTAAACTTTAAAATACATTATTTTTTCCGAACCCTAGCAAGTTATTTTACTCGCGAGTAGAAAAAATGTCTAGAAACTCGTACATCTCCGAGTCTCTATTATATAGTCGTACATACATATGTATGTATGTGAAATATTAATCTTCATTCTACTTGTTAGTTTCATGTGCGAGTATTCAAACAGTTTCTAAAGGTATTTATAAGGTATTTTAATTAACACTGCAGGGTTGCATTTTCAACAGAGAGGGAGGAGAGGGGGTCGCTGCTGGCTGCTTCATTTTCTTTATCAATTAATGAAATTCCAGCGCGTAATTTAAATAATTTCCCCCAGACTCGCGACGGCTGTGGTTGGTGACCAGGGGGTTCAGGGGTTCAGGGGGCTCAGATGATGGCAACAGCAGCTACACCTGAATTTTTATGCTTCTATCTGTTTGCTAATAACAAGAACAACACCAACACCAACAGCAACAAAAACAACAGCAGGAACAGGAATGCGCAGCAACCAGTTAACAAGTTTTACAGTTGTAGGCTAACTGGACCGCCCGTTCGCACCCGCGTCTCTCATTCTCTTGTTGTTGTTGTTGGCTGCGATAGTCGCTGCCTGGGTGTCAGCCAAGAGAGCAACAACAACAACGAGAACAGCCCCAGCAATAAAATTAACTGGCGATAAAAAAAAACGCGTTAATATATTTTTAATTTTTGTTGTACGCGCAATATTCTCGATATCTACATGGCTATATGTATATACGAGTATGTACATTTGTATATATGTATAGGTATATACATATTTACTTTGGCCGCTGTTGGCAAGCGATGTCGCTGCTGATGATGATGATGATGTCATGGCAGCAACAACAGCAACAATAACAACAACAAAGACAACGACAACTACAAAAACCCCAACACTTACCGTCAAACCTTATTTGTTTTTTTTTTTTTACAATTGCGCACGTAGAACTGTCTTTGTTGCTGTAGCTGTTGTTGTAACTGCTAAAAACGCTCTTCTGCCTCCTAACGCTGAACTTGTAAATGATTGATGATGGCATTACAACAGCAAGCGGCCTTTAATCTATCATCTAAGCGCTCTTAAGCCCATGTTGACAAACATCGTCATATGTATACGTACAGTTGGCATGTTCGATCAATTCCGGTCAACTATTGAGTATATTCTTGGATCTAGAACTCCACTATTCCCCCAACAGCTCAATCGTTTGTATGCCCCATACCCGAAGGTAGGGTGCATGTATCAGGCTGAAGGACGCGTGTCAGACTCCATATGATTAGCTTGACGAAACGATTCGATTTGTCCGTCTGTATGAACACCGAGAACTTTTAAACAATAATGGCTAGGGACGCTAAACTTGGCATGTACACTTTTTTTATCCATAGGCAATACAACAAGTTTATTACAAACCAGATGTACCCCCAATATTTAATATAGCTGCCATAGGAGCGATCGTTGCAAGAACAACTCTCAGTGCTGTCCGTGATGCGAGACACTTCGCCTCCAATACTGTTGTAATTACATACAAATACGAGTATATACGCATTTTTGTGAATAGCCTAGCATAAATATTTAAATAAGCTTCTGTTTGTCTATAATTAACACTTTTGTTTAAAATATTTACTCTCTAAACAATATCCATTTATGTACAGAGCATAACTAGAAATTCCAAAGAAAGAATGAAATGAATGCCAACTTTCCCAACATGGTTTGCTTATTCTAACAACATTTTGCCAAAATCTACATTCATTTAGAAACATAAATATATCGGCCTGTGGGCGCAGTTTTATCAGAAAAACGCCAAGCTTTTTCATAGTGTAGTTTTGTTGAATCGCACATTTTAGAATTGAATTTCAATTAGAATTTGATTTCGTTGCATTGTCTTGAGTTCATTTATTTTAAATTCATTTTAATAGGTTTAAACCATAGTCATAAAATATCGACTTCGTTCTGAAGAATAGATTACAGAAGATAATTATATTTAATTATATTATCTGTTCATAAAAGTCTAGACGTCTTTGTTGCTTAAAAGAATAGTAATACAAGATTTAAATATATTTTTAGGTCTTCGCTTAGTTATTGGTTCTGATAAATGCCTATTCCTTACTCTTTAGAGTACTATTTTATAAGAAGAAGAGTGCTTAGAGTCCCTTACATTCATTTCCTATTAAAAATGATGAGATAATTTTGCAGAAATTCCAATGCAAATTCCCCAGGTTAATAAAAATTGAAAATAAATAGGCTTATCGGCTACTAAGTTTGTCGAAAGCTAATCTATCAAGCAAATCGTAGGCTTGTGTTGTTATTGCAGCACTTCATCGAACTCGCAAAGTTTATAAAGTGTGTGGCTCATTTGGCAACCACTGGCTGGGTGGTGCTGCATTTGCGAAAATTGTCGTTTGACTCTAAAGATGATGAGATGATGTGAAGGCAATGATGAGATGATGCTGATGATGATATTCTTGGTAAGCATAAGAAGAGAAAATGACAAAAAAATAAAACGCGGCGAAACAAATTTATTGCCATTGTGGTGGTTGTCGCTGTCATTGCCACTTCCTCCACCTCCAGCAGCAATACTACCAACAACAACAACAACCACAACAGCAATAACAACAAGAAGCAAAAGAATGCCTGCCACTATAGACTTGGCCAAGTTTTCAATGTCAGGTCGGGCCTGTTATGCCACAATTCTGGTTCACAGCGATTCTCAGCCACAATAGTCTTCTGCTTCTGCCCCGTCTGCTGTTGGCCGATAGTACGCTTCGTATTTTAATGAATTTTTTGTTTTTTTTCATTTATTTATTTGCATTTCATTTTCTATTTATTTTTTGCAGTTTTTTGCTTTTCTCGTTTTCGTGCGCATTTTAATGCTGTTTTTGTTTCCTTCAATTTGTTGTTGGTGTTGTTCTTGCTTTTGTGCTTGTGCTTGTGTTTTGTTGCGCATTATGCAAGTTCAGCAATTTTTTTATTGTTGCTGTTGTTGTTGTTGTTGTTCCCATTCATTTTGGAATTCTCAGCGCCACTTTGTTGTTATTCAATTAGTTTTTAGTTCTTCGACGTTTCTTCTTATCTCTGTTCACTGTTCACAGTTTTGCAAGCACTGTGAATCATTTTGTTCAGCGCGCAGACAAGCTGCGCGTGTATCGCTTTATCTGTGTCTGTATGCGTGTGTGTGTGTGTGGAGAAATGTGCCACACAACACTTGACAGGCTTCCAAATCTGTCGTTGGCTACTGCCACGCCCACAATCCGCCCACAGCGGCACGCTCGCACGCCCGTTTATTAAATAGTCGTCATCGTTGCACTTCCAACTTGTCCTCGACGCAGCTTGCAGTTGTCATTGTTGTTGTTGTAACCGTTATTGCTCTTGTTGTTGTTGTTGTTGTTGCTGTTGTGATTTTGCGCACCTGCCATGACATGACCGTGCCACACCACACCACACCCTTTCCCCTTCCCCTTCACGCCCCCCGGCCCCTGCTCGGGTCTGTGCATTTTTCTAGTCTGTCTTTTGTTAAGCCACTCATGGCTCTGTGCGCCTCGGTTTTATTTTTATTTTATTTTATTTTTGTTTCTCTTCAACTGCAAAAGACACTTACATTTTTTTTCCATGGACACCCCCTCCACAGCCCAGCCCGCCCCGTTGCATTCTTTGTTTGAAGCATCGCTTCGAGCACTAATTAAATTAACACAATTGTCGTGAACGCGGATTAAGTGCGCCACTTAAAATCCGTTGAGGAATTTGTTGGCCAACCCCGCTTCCCTTTCGCAATTCCCCCACCACTCCCCAGCCATCACGCCATTCGCCCACAAAGTTACTTTTGAGTTGTATGCCATCAGCCAGAAAAGTAGTTACGAATGCGCCAAGGCTTCTCCGGAATGTGGCCAACATCCTGTCGACGCCCGCAACTCAATTCACATTTAAACCTTTCCATTATCCTTCCTTTCTGCTCTACCAACTGGTATATCAGGTGTGCCTCATTTAACTGAAGCACAAGAAATACAACAGACATTTATTCCAATTTATAAAACTAATTTAAAGTGCTTTGAATGTTATGAGTTGAATGAGCTAAATACAGCAGCATTTGATATCAAGTTTCTCAAAAAGCTGAATAGATCTAACACAAGATGTTTTCCAATCTTTATTGTCTAAGTGATTAATTCACAAGGGAGAAGCAGACAGAGAGAGAGAGGGAGAGTTCGGGAGATATCTGTAGAAACCTCAGACAATTCCAAAGAGTTCTTCTGGGTTCCACGATGCGGTGCTGCTAAATACTCTGAGCAGTCTCTATCTTATCTAAGGAAGGTAACATTAAGGGTTACCTTAAAATTATTCTCATAAGGTAGAATTTAGGGAAAGAATCCAAAAGCATTGATAACTCACCATCGTTAACTCACTACCATTTAAACTTTTGTCTGAATGCCTTGAACTCAAAGTCTTCTAGGCCCACGCGGAAAAAAAGATAGACTTTTCCAAGCAAATAAAGAACTCTTCATAGCCAGAGAGAGACTTAATGGAACACTTCCCAGATTTTCAGCAAATCATAGTTATTCGAACTGAAAGAAAAACATTTTCACAGGCTCTGAGTCTTAATTGTAGAAATCGAGTCTAAGACTCACCAACGAAAGTGAATTAAAGCCCATTAGTTTCGGAAGAACAGGGAAAAATAAAAAATCGGAATAATAAGCCAAGGCATCTACTTAACTGACAACGTGAAGACAGCAGAAAGGGTGCCTTTGAAAGTCCTTTGATTGCAGATTTATCTGACTATACTACTACATACTGTACTATATAGACTGTAATATAAATATATATGTTTTATCGGATAAAGCTCTTAGGCCTAACTCAACCCTAACTTCTTTTGTGCATTGCAGGAGCAACTACGCCGCCGGCGCGAGGAGGAGGAGCGCATTGCGCAACAAAATGAGTTTCTGCGCAACAGTCTACGCGGATCGCGAAAACTTAAGGCTCTACAGGACACGGCTGGCAACAAATCACAGATGCCGCAGCAGCAGCAGCCCACGGGCATGACCAACAATGAGCTTCTGACGATGGCCGGTGTCGAGAACGAGGCCTACATGGACGATGAGACGCTAGAGGCGAGCAAAATCATAGGTAGGTTCAAACAAGCGCAGTCCATCCGACAGAGTCCTTTTTTGACACGAAACTCCCACCTCTCCACCTCTCCAGGCTATGGTGAACTGATTGCCGCACTGACGCGTCTACAGAGTCAGCTGAGCAAGAGCGGCATGAGCTCGCTTGCGGGTCGTGTTTCGACGGCGCACAATGTGCTGGCCAATGCCAGTGTGGCGCACGTGCTGGCCGCCCGCACCGCCGTGCTGCAGCGTCGCCGACCGCGTGTCTCCAGTCCTGTGCACGTGAGTGCGCTCAGTCTTCAAAAGGATGTGGTGGAAATGCTGACGCAGTCCAATACAGCGGCGGCCATCGAACTGGGGAATCTTTTAACTAGCCACGAGATGGAAGGTCTGTTTCTGGCGCACGATCGCATTGCCACGCACACAGACACCACCCCCTCGCCGACGCCAACGCTGAGCGGTCACAGCAGTCCGCTGTTTGCGGCAACCGCCGCCAAATCGGCCTCGCTGCGTGGCACTGCTGTGCCACCACCGGTGGTGCCACCGATACCACCGGTAGTCGGTCCACCCCCCACGCTGGCACAACGCGGCGCTATGCCATTGCCACAGCACGTTCTGGCCGCCGGCGGGAAAATGGCGGCTGTAACGCCACCTCTGGTGCCAGCACGAAGCGACTCTCCGCCACCGATGAGCGCCTGCTTCGGTACACTGAACGATCAGAACGACAACATACGCATCATACAGATTGAGAAGTCGACGGAACCGTTGGGCGCGACGGTGCGCAACGAGGGCGAAGCGGTGGTCATTGGGCGAATTGTCCGAGGCGGGGCTGCCGAGAAGTCAGGACTCTTGCACGAGGGCGACGAAATACTGGAGGTAAATGGACAGGAGCTGCGTGGCAAGACGGTGAACGAGGTGTGCGCCCTTCTCGGCGCCATGCAGGGTACCCTCACGTTTCTGATAGTGCCCGCGGGCAGTCCGCCCCCTGGTGGTGGCGGCAGTCTCGGTGGCATGGGTCATCGCGATACGGCTGTGCTGCATGTGCGCGCCCATTTCGACTACGATCCCGAGGACGATCTGTATATTCCGTGCCGTGAGCTGGGCATTAGCTTCCAGAAGGGCGATGTGCTGCATGTGATCTCGCGCGAGGATCCCAATTGGTGGCAGGCATATCGCGAGGGCGAGGAGGACCAGACACTGGCCGGCCTCATACCTAGTCAGTCGTTTCAGCATCAGCGCGAGACCATGAAGCTGGCCATTGCCGAGGAGGCTGGCCTGGCGAGATCGCGCGGTAAGGATGGCGGCAGCAAGGGGGCGACGTTACTCTGCGCGCGCAAGGGTCGCAAGAAGAAGAAGAAGGCCAGCTCGGAGGCAGGGTAAGTGTAGACACAAAAAAAAAACAATCGATTTTCAACTTTTTCGCAATCTATTAAAATAAATGATGTAAATCGAATGAGTGGACTTCAATAGTTTCAGCTTCAAACTTTTTTGTATTATTTATTATATTCCTCTGCTGAGATTTATAAAATGTAGGTTACAGGAATTTTACGATTCTCTTACTCCCAAACTTCTTTCAAACCCTTTTTGCCCAATACGTGCTGTGCAAAGCAACAGGATTCGATATTAAAGTCCTTAGGAGTGGTTTTTCTTTATGAATTGCTCATTGATCGACTATTGTGATAAGACTAGGACATATTTACATATTTTTAGTCCACCATTAGCATAGATATTACTTTCATTAAAGCTGTCTAAAGTTGTTCCCGTAACACTTGACTTCCTTTCCTTTTGATAGACTATCGCTCGTTGAGTCTTTCTTGGCGAGTCAAGTTCTAAGCCTCACTTGAAAGCAAGACTGCTTGACTCATTCTAAAATCTAGTTTCACCTTTTTTTCGAAAGCAAGTTGAAAGTTCCATGCCAATATTCATATCTACTTCATTTTTCAGCTATCCTTTGTACGCCACGACCGCGCCAGACGAGACCGATCCGGAGGAGATACTCACCTACGAAGAGGTGGCGCTCTACTATCCCCGTGCAACTCACAAACGGCCCATTGTGCTGATCGGACCACCCAATATTGGCAGACACGAGTTACGCCAGCGTTTGATGGCCGACTCGGAGCGCTTCTCGGCAGCAGTGCCACGTAAGTGAAAGAGTTTCAGGCAAACATCCATTTGGTGCTTGGCCCTGGCTTGCAAATGTCTTTCTCACACTCTCTCTGACTGACTCACTGACTTCTCTATTATAAATTTTGAATGGCGCTGCGCAAAGTGTTCCTCTTGCTTGAGGAGAAGCTGAAGCCAGCTAAGGGTAAAGCACACGGTCTCGCACTTGCCTCCAAGCGCAATGCTAGCGTTTCCTAGGCTGCTTTCAATCCGTAGAACACGACCCCTCACCTCTTATAGCTCTGCTCTAATCCTCTACTCTCCTTTCCCGTTCGCTTCTCCACAGACACATCACGTGCACGTCGCGAAGGCGAAGTTCCCGGCGTCGATTATCATTTCATAACGCGACAGGCTTTCGAGGCGGACATCTTAGCCCGTCGTTTTGTCGAGCATGGCGAGTACGAGAAGGCCTATTACGGTGAGTAGAACTAACAATTTCCATTTCGAACGTCCCCCTAATAAAGAATCTTCTGCAGGCACATCACTGGAGGCCATACGCACGGTTGTTGCCAGCGGCAAGATCTGTGTGCTTAACTTGCATCCGCAGAGCCTGAAGCTGCTCCGCGCCTCAGACCTGAAGCCCTATGTGGTGCTGGTGGCACCGCCCAGCCTAGACAAGCTACGCCAAAAAAAGCTGCGCAACGGCGAGCCCTTCAAGGTGAGTAGCCGGCCGGCCGGATTCTTAGCCTCAGTCGTTTAAAAAAACTCTTTCTTTACATTTGTGCAGGAGGAGGAGCTAAAGGACATCATTGCCACGGCACGCGATATGGAGGCCCGCTGGGGCCATCTGTTCGACATGATAATCATCAACAATGACACGGAGCGGGCCTATCATCAGCTGCTGGCCGAGATTAATTCGCTGGAACGAGAGCCGCAGTGGGTGCCGGCCCAATGGGTGCATAATAATCGCGACGAGTCATAAACCAATTGGCCAATAAGACACACACACAGACACACAGTCTCATATATATTAATATATATACATATATACAATATATGCGAACTATATGCATTCCTATTTGCTTACTAGCGACGCAACACAGTGCTTGTCAAACTGTTTACCAGGGGGTCATCAAACATAGAAACAGCAACAACAGCAAATCGAACCTAACTTTGTAAATAAATATTTAAAACAACTCACAGTCGAATATCGAAGCGAGTAACCCCAAAACTGAACACACATTCCCAACAACAACCATTAATATATTATATATAATTAGTTGAAAAACAAAGAAAAAGCAAAACAATGCCAAGTGTGTGTAATTCAGTTTGCCTGCTGTACTTACCCTTTACTTTTTTTTTTTTTTTTTGACTACACACATATGTATGTTTTATACCTAGAGTATATACATACATGGAGAAATGAGAAATATTAATCAATTACTTTATATATAGCCCAGAGCGAATATAAATATTTACAATATTATATATAAATATATAGACAATATATATTAGTATTTATATGTTTGTTTGATATGTATTTTAAAGCAAAAGCAATTTTTTTACGTCTTTTTAATCAATCATGTATGTTCACAAAACCACAAAATCTGTTATCTACAATAAAATTAATATACATATATATATACATATTTACTATTTTTTTTAATCCTAGTTTTTAACTAATAAGCATATATTTTGTGTACTCTTCCTTAATTTCGAAAGGCAAATTGAAATTGTTAAAAGCGAGTTGGAATAGATTTTAAAAACAAGAACAACAACAAAGCGAAATAAAAACAGATTTTACAGCGTTTGCGCAAAGGTATGGTTAGATATGCAAATAATTTTTTCGAATTTTTCGGATAAAATGTAAAATGCAGCTTTGTTCTGCTAAAAAAAAAACACACTACTGTGTCATTACCTTTTCATAGCCTTCTTGTAAAATAACACATATTTCTGAGCAAATTATTTACATGTTTGACCGTAGACCGTGGTCAGACAGGCAAACAATCTGTTGAACAATTTGAGAATTTCCCAAGAATATAACTCTTCTACAAGAAACATCTTTGGGATCCTTTGTTCAAGGCCCCATTAAAGAATAACACAAACTTCTGAGCAAATTATTTGCATGTTTGACCATAGCTTAACTTAAACCCCCACTCCTCCTCCCCCAAGTTGTGGTGACCCAGACAGTGAAAAAGCACATACTTCATATGTTAACTGAACAAAAAGCATCTAAGAATCTAACAAGACAACAGATAAAACGACGAACACATTCACATTCAGATTTACATCCATAACAACAACAACAAAAACCAGCAGAAAAAGATGAAGAAGAAAAGGCAAAAGCAAGCAAATGTTGAAATTACGTAATCTATTTACTTTATATAAAGATATACATAACTATACATATATACACCATAAATTACGATTAAAGTAACACAATTAAATTTTAACAATGAATTAGTAAACAGAAAGCAAGCAGAGAATAAAACAACAACAACAAAATCAGTACGTCATTGCCAAAAATTAATACAAACATACAAAAACAAACAAAAATAATAATACACACTTAACTTAACTCAGAAAAGCAGAGAAATTGTTTAAAACAAAATAGCATAGAAATGTTTAAGCACTGTAAAAACAAAACAAAAGAGAGCAAAGCGAAGCAAATGAAATGAAATGGAAAATGAAAAACAACATAATTGTAGGACATAAGTAACGTAAAGCTAATTTAAAAAAAAATAAAAATATATATAAATAAATAAATGAATATATATACACAAAAGCAAAAACTAAAGACAGCGCGCGCTCGGGGCAGTTGTTGCAAAAATAAATGTTGTAATAAATTATGTATTTAAAGTGCGTACTACGGGGAATAACTATGAAAGAAACTTAAAACAGGACGAGAACGAAAAAGAAAGCAAAAACTGATCCATATGTAGATTTGCGAAATTTATGCATACATGCATACAAGTATATATATATAATAAACATATATATGTATATGATGGGGGCAACAGAAGTGTCAGTTTTATGCAAATTAAAAAACGAAAAACACTTAGCATGATATGTTACACAATGTTGAACACTTGACAGATTCTAAATAAAACAAATGCAAACGAGAATATATTGTATTTAACACTTTTTTTTTTTGTAGTAAACAAGGTATAACAAAACGTGTGTGCAGTAAATTTGTTTAAGTTTTTATTTATACGTATTGAAGAAATCAAATGAAATATGAAAATTTATGAATAAAAGTATATATAGAAATATATATACAGTATATATATATAAATTAAATTTAGTACGTCGTATGTATGTGTAACAAAGGTGTAACGAATTGATTAACAAACCCAAACGAAAGTGGATGAACAGAACTATGGCATAGGAATAGTTTGCAAAATTACAACAAAAATCACAACTATTGTACGAAAATAGAAAAATTTCAAGCGTAAAAGCGAACAAAGTGGAATACCGAAATAAAACAGCAATGAATTACGAGAAATGCGATTCAGCAGTTTCAAATTTGATTTGGGGGGCCATCACAGCGATACATTTTCGCAATCACATTTTTCCATTTAAAGGTGATTTGAAGGTTGAAAACACTTATTTTCGCTCCACATTTCAGTTGTTTAAGTTTCCACAAAAAACAGACAAGGGTTCAAAGTTTCAGCGTAATTGGAATACCGAAATAAAACAACAATGAATTACGAAAAATGCTGGACAGAATAATATGTGTGAGACCATTTTTTTTTTCAAAAAAGCTTGCCTTTCATATATGTATGTTCATACATATGTATATTCTAATTTTTCTCAAAAAATCAATTAGTTTCAAAATAAACATACTTCAGCGACCAAACAAATAATAAATGGCTTAACCAACTATTAAGTTCCAGGAGGAGGGTAAACGTTGCATCAATTCATAACACCATGAAAAGCAAGCTTTTTTGAAAAAAAAAAATGTTCTCACACCTATTATTCTCTCCAGTTGTGTATGTTGATCCGCCTCTGTGCGAAAATACTACAAGACTAAACGCTCTACAACAAGCCTCTTAATTATCAAAGCTATTTAATTACTCATTTATAGTGCACCCACCTAAATGATAACACTTATCTTTGCTCTAATACTATGAAAATACGAAAAAATAAAACACCACCGGATAAGCATTGGCTGCAATGAACTCATAAAAAAAAAAAAATTGTTTGGAAATCTAGAAGATTGGTCGATCACCCACAATTCTATCTAGAAATACTACTATAACATTTATAAATGTTATTTGAAACAATGTTATGTATGTATAGTATAGCAAATACCTGAACGATAACACTTACCTTTTTAAAAATCCTAAAAGAAAATACGACAACACTGCGACAGTGTACTTTTAATCTAGTAGTCGATCGATTCTATCTAAAAAAGTTATACATTTTTGGAAGCTCAAGCAATTGACTGATTAGTACTTGCAGGACTTTGAGTGGAAATACGGACCCGGGACTTTCAAACATAATGGCCCATATTTCTTGCCCCTCGACAGTTCTAAAAGTATTATACTCGTACTGCAAGCTACTTTAGAGCTGTTCTTCTACATACACAATTTTTAGCACTACAGATCTGCTGTGGCACGTAGTGGCTCTTTTTCCGTAATGTTTTCGTAAGTGGCGCCAGCCAGACGCACAAGCAAAAAACCGATCGCTAGCGAACTTAAAAAAAATATATGTATGTATACTGTATATACATACATTTGTATACAGTTGTCTCCAGTTAGACGCACATAAAGATTAATGCAAAAACAAAATACACAATAAGAATTACTCATAACCCTAACGGTAGATTTTGTTGTAGGGGTCCCGATTTGAACGGACTTTGTATATTAATTTCAATAATTTTAAGTGAAATCTTGATAGATATTTACAGCTGGTACAATATAAAAAAAAATTATTGTGCACACAATACAAAATATTTAATCAGTATCGAAATATGGTATTATCTACAATATTAAATTTTTGGGGTTCTGATCGCCACTTACCGTTATTTTGTCACTTTTGTGAAATGTTGAGCAGCTTGCACACCATTCCTGGTAAATGGTAGTAATATGTACATAGATTTTGCTTCAGTCCTAATTTTAAGGAATCAAATGATGACGACACTTCGCTTTTTTAGGTAATAACTCGAATTAAAGTATATGTGTTTTTAAGTAAAACTAAAAAGTGCAGTCAGCTGTTTGCGCAAAGTGCAGTGCGCTGCCACTAATTTGATTTTTTGTTGCATGGCCATGCTGAAACAGTGCTGGTGAATGTTGGCAGTTGCCGGCAGGCTAGTGCTGGAAATGGTCGGCATTTAACCGCCAGCTGAGAGGCATTGTTGCGTGCTGTTGTGAAAGAGCAGCGTCGTTGAGTCGAGGTGGGAAGCAGTAGCAGCAGCGAGCGCGCCGATACCAGCCGTCATCGTTAATATTTTTTTTATTCGCGTTCTGCCATTGCTATTGCATTGGCTGTGTGTATTTGTTATATATTTTTTTTTAGCACCATCGGGCTTGTGTGTGACGGTGACTTTTTTACCAAACTTTAATCTTATCAGTGCTGATCAAGCCATAAACATGAGTCGAAGCACGGCTACCAATTTTAATTGAAGTTCGCATATTCTAAAGTGTGGTCGTGTTTGTGTTTATGTTTGCGTATTTGACCAGCAGTGTCAGTACTTTAACACCTTAAGTTGAAACCGCAACTCCATCCAGCCAAAGTCATAGCCAGAGCGGCAATATGTCACTGAAAACCGTTGTACGCCAACAGAGCCAAACGCCTGCCCAGCAGCTGCAACTGCAGCAACAAAGGGACATTGAGAATGGCTTGTATCCAAATATACCGGCAGAGCGGCGTAGCCCGCCGCCGCGTCCACAGCGCCAGGACACCATAGATATGGAGGAGATACCCTTAAATCGTTCTACATCGCAGCCGGAGCCGGAAGATCGTCGTAGAATGCGCGACATTTTCAACCATGTAAGTGTCATAAAGCCGGGAAGTTGTCTTAACTTCGATTGTCCCCCACTCCGCCCCTTGCTCCTCTGATGATGAAATACGTTTTGTGTGGGTGTGTGTGTGTGTGAGTGTGAGTGTGTGTATGAGTGTGTGTGTGTGTGAGTCAATGAATGTTCGTTCTTGTTGTGGTGTCGTTCTTGTGCCGCCATTAGCCAGCCCGTTGCCCTTGGAGAAAGTTAACTGCAGCTGTCTTAAATACACATCGATACATACATATTTATGTATATGCATGCATGTATGTATATGTGCATATGTTGTATGTACATACATAAATATGTCCATACGGGTATGCATATATTTTGTTTTAACGCGTGATTCATCGCTGTCGATGTCAAGTTGGTTCCCCTTTCCTGCATTTGTAGCTTCAATTAATTGCATGCCTTTACGCGACTTCTATTTTTAAGTCTCGCCTCTCCACGCTTGGCCTGCCGCCCCACACTGCCAACAATTCTGGGTGTGTCACCGCCTTGCATATGTACATACTATATACCTATCTATACAAACATACATACAAATGTATGTATATATTTAACAAGCACCTAAACACATTTTGCAAATTTTTTTGAGTTTTGGAAAAGGAAACGAACTGAACTTGGCAAAGGGAAGCGCCCAAGAATCTTATCGGACTCTGCGCTCTTGTCGTTTTGCTTTTGCTCGGCATGGGGTATAGGGTAGAGTAGAAACCGGTTATAACAATGATTGTTGGCATCTACTCTCTACCACCGCAATTGTTGTTAGTTGTTGTAAAATCTACAAACTACCTCTGGTCTCCTGCCCAGCCCCAAGCAATTCTAGAGATCGCTGTCGTTATCTTTAGCATTTCTAACACACATACATACACACTATATATGTATTTACATACATACTCGTATTCATATATACATTTGCGCTTTCTTTTGGATTCCTCGACAATTCGCTGACTCCATTTGCTGGGTTTCTTGCTCTCTCGGCCATGATCGATTGATGGCTGAATCAGCAGCACCTGTCAAGTGTAATTTTCTAACTTTTTAAAGTTGCTCCTAACTCTACACTCCACACACGCACACGCACACACTCTATATCCACTCTTATGTACATATTTATGTAGATTCGTTTTAAAAACAAAAAGACTTGCTAATTTGCCTAACCTGTTACTTGCTATGCTAACTCCAGACATTTCTGGGCCCAGGCCAGAAACTGTTGGAAACTGTTTAAACAAATTGAATTAGCACTGTCGAATTCTAGCTGCTGGCCAGGTATCCAAAAGACCCATTCAGAAGCTCGGCTGGGGCTTAAAGAGCGCGACACATGCTTGCTCTGCTGCGATAACCAGCTAGTGGGAACGTGAGCTTTGAGTCAGCAAAAGCAAACTTGTAGATTTTATATTGGCATGCCCGCGAAAATAGCATTGGGTGTCCATATCTTATCGTTAACTAAATGCCCCGTTCGTTTATTTTCTACAGAACGTTCAATTGTGGGTCTGTGCATATGGCGTAGACATTATTATCATGAGATAGTCTCCATAAAGAATTCGAGTCGAAGGTAAAGGTTATTTAAAATTACTTCAAATACATAAGGATCTTAAAAGATGCCCCTTCGATTCTACCTATATACCACTATACACATACTACATATATTCAACAAATAAACTAAAAACATTGTGTGATGCTTAAGGAACCAAATATTATATAAACATTTATGTAACCCATTTATTTGAATACTTTTTCAATTTTAAAAGAATTTATCTATATTTGTTAAAAATAAAGTTTGACCTAACGGACTGAAATTTTGACTCAAGTTTACTTGCACTGCCTAAGTGAAGCTGTTTCGGAAAATTGGAACTCCAATTTGTGAAATCGTGCTCCGACATTTTTCTCATAAGTCTACAAATTGTCTTCAAGTTGTTTTTGGTTATTAATTTATTGAGCATTTCCGAATAAGCCATGGGGGCTTTAATGCTGAAACCAATGAACAATATCAACAGACTAATCCTTTCAGTTTCTAAAAGAAGTATGTAGGGCTAGAGGCAAAGATATAGAGATAATTAACAATCACTAGATCAAGAATTCCATTTCAGTTGTTAAACAATATACTGGGTTAATTTGAACAAAAGAAAGTATAAGTAGGCAATTTAAAAGGGCATTTTGTGTTGAGGGTATAAGATTAGTCAAATCATTATAGCAAAAAGGAAAAATCATCAACCGCAACCATGAAACTCATTGTTTGTATGACCAATCTACTGCGTTTTCCCAACCAGTGTAGCTAATACAGCACAGCCGACACTCCCACAGTCCCTTTCTCCCACCCCCTCCCCCACCATTGTGTGCAAAATTTGTATCTAAGCCAAGTGCAACTACTCTCTTAGTCACATCTAATCGACATGCCAGCTATCCACAATGCGGCAATTCGACCTTATACTGCCCGCCGGCCGCCTTATCGCCTGTTTTCTTTTCTTTTTTTTTTGCTTAATCTCGCTCGCTCTTTCGCACATAGAGAAATGCATGTGTTTATTGTATATTGTAGTTATATGACAACAGCTTATGGCTATATCTGATTTCCAAAATTGCGGAAACTTGGCGCTTTGTTTAAATTCTGTTCTACTCCTCTGCTCCGACTCTGAATGACTAATGATTCAAATGCGATTGATAGATGGGCGAGGGGAGGGTGTTCGGGCGGGGATGTTTGTTCTTTGAAAACAGCACTTGGCAACAGCTTCGTGCCAAACTATACTCAGTAAGAACCACTGAGTTGATTCTTGATAAGAAAAATATCAACAGAACCGCCCATTGTTTACCCGGTTTCGGAGTAACGCACGCTTCTGCTTTCATTAGCAGCTGCATTCCACGGAAAAAAATCCTATTACTGTTGTTTGTTAGTTGTTGCTTATTCTTGTTGTTGGATAATTAACACAATTGTAAGCGGTTCGCATTTTGTTGAGGCCTTATACGGTCTATAGAGTTGGACGGGCTGTCGACTTGTTCTGACTCCATTTGGTAATGGATTGTATCCAAAAACGTTTGGATACTTGCCACAAGTGGGCCAATGACGCAACATTCTGTTGCGCTGAGCCAAGCAATACATTTTCCTCTGAGAAATCGAATTGTTGCGGTTCAGTGAATCTAAATCGCTTCTGTATATACATATAAATTTTATGATTTATTTACACCCCCAAAGACCAGATGCCGGATGCGAGGTCAGGTAGAAGATGACGTTATAAATTATACAGCCTTTGCCCTTTTAGAATTCGAAATTGCTTAATTTTTTAAATCTTTATTTCTTTGGCCTTCAATTTTAAAGAAAGATCGCATGCTTTCATTTATGCACTTAACTTTCAAAAGATCAAAAAAAGATGACCAATTATTTGGTCGTTGTTTAATATTTAAAAAAACTACCAGTCGCGATTTCGCAAAATTCGTTCTAATTCGGAAAGAGAAGCAATACAGTGATTATCTTTTTCCTGTTAATTGGCAGCGCGTGCTTTCTTCAATTTGTAGAAAATTTGTTTATTTGAACATTAATATCGAATGTTGGGATAATTATTATAACGAATGAATGAATAATATTCATGTATAACCATAAATGATGCAACTCAGATGATGCACTTAAGTGCCAACCCCCGCAATACAAGTATTTTGTAAGCTCAACAAATTAGCTGTAGACCGCAAAATCGTCCGAAAAGTAAAAACGTTAACGACATGCCTATTACTTATGCTTTGAAGTCATTGATCACTAGTAAGATATAGAACAATTCATTTTCACATCTAACTTGTTCTAAAATTCCCTTTATCTCTAGAACAAATTATTTTCAAGATATTTATGAGGCAACAAATCGATGCCACCACTTCACGGCGACAAATCGTAGTATCGTTGGATCAAATGGATGGATTTGCAGGAAAACTTATCAATGTATTACACTATTATAACTACTGGTTGGTTTTCCCTCGCATAAACGTTTATCTATCTTTCAACAACAAAATATGAGTAATCATTTGCTTGATATTTATATTTCTAATCATTCGAGTATACTCGTACATTATTTACGCATTCTTGCATTAATATACCTTTCCAGAGCGCGCCAAAAACTTAATCTATTAAACTGATAAACAGTATAACTGTTAAAAGTGTGCCTATGTTTAATCAATAAGCCGTATTTCTTGATATTCCTTGAAAGAAGTGTCATTGAAATACAAAACTAGCCACAACTAATGTGTCTGAACCTCTTTATATCGAGTGTTATATTTATACATATATAGTACAAGTATAAAGGGGGACTCTTTATGCCCAAGCATAATTGTCAAGAAAGTAATCAACGTTTAAATAATAAAGTCTTCCAATATGGTTCTTCACAAAAATTTAGAAGAAATCTTTGAAAGAGATTGATGCTTATACCAAATACAGTACACGTTTTATACCTTTTACGAGTGGAATAATGTACTTATCTTCGGGATTATCCTTCGCCTACGAAGAAGATTTATAAATGGGTCCTAAAACTGAGCTATGAAGCATTGTTAGCTGCCTAAAAGGAATACGGGACTGGATAGCTGCCCGCACTTGGAAGGTCTGGCTTCATGGGGCTCTAGACCTTCTTGACCACTTTCCCATCAATTTATTTATTAGGATCACAACACTCGTTTTGTTTATTTGAAAGCTGAAGGTGTACTTGATATTTTGTAATTTGGATGTGTTTGGACCCGACCGTGTATTTTGGATAGTGTTGAGCAGCCAACTGGAACGTATCGGTTATCAGCAAATGCAACTGGGGAAGGAACTGCGCTGTGTTCTTCCCCCGTTGGGGATATCTTCAATATCGTAATAGGACTCGCCATCGAATATGCTACACCTATCGTCGTAATACTTGTCGTCTTCGGATATCGACTGCGTGTCATGCCAAATCCCTGCTTCTTCTTCCTCTTCTTCTTCTTCCTCTTTATACTGCTCTTGTTGTTGACTGATGAGGAACTGTTTTTGCCATAGCCGTTGATTTTGGCGTTCCTCCCTCAATTCACGATCCCGCTTGGCGGCATCGTATCCGTTGAAACGACTGGCCAGGGAATTCGCACATAAAAGCAGAGCACCCACGGCCAGATATAGAACCGACACTGTCAGTACTCCCGATGACTCCTGTCCGATTGCATCGTCATCATCGGCCGAATCCGAGGGCTGACTGGATCCATATAATAAATATTTGGCTAAATGCCAAAGCTGAGCCATCTTGTGGTTGCGGCTAACGAACAACGTGAGATCGTGAACGGAACTTCCGGCTGCAATGTGAGCTGTGTGGCCTTCAAAATACACGGTACTGATCTGTTGGTGATGTGTTCGGTTTTGTTCTGTTCGGTTTGAATGTGTCTGATTGAATGAGAGAAGTGGGGAATAGAAAATTCATTAGAGCTGACAGTTACTCTAACGCCTGCTTGGTAATATCTCGGGTTGCTACGACTGCCATGGGGTCGAAAACAATTGGCAAAATCGCCCAACTAAGTGCAGCTACCCCTACTCTTAAGAAAGTTAACCCAATGTTTCTAGATTCAATGTCCTTGAATTGTTTCGTTCATCTTTGTTTTTACCGCTTTTGTGGGCTTCATTCACACTATAAGACTTTTTTTTCAATTTATCGAACCCATATATAATTTTTTAATTATGAACACCTAATATTCTTATAGTACTTATAATAATAATAATAATTTTATTACATATGGGTATAACTGTAGACCAGTACCACTCAAAAGTTTACAAAAATTAAATGATTGAAAACCCATTTGCGATTTATAAATAAATTGCAGTTTCTGCATATATTTATAGATGCGAAGATTTCGCCCTTAAAACTATTTAAGAAAAGCGTTTTCTAAAAATTATTATTGTCTTTGATGTCTTTGTTTCTTAGTAAAAGTATACATATATGGTATATTTGTTAGCAATTGAACATTTTGTCTAAAAGAAGGGTGGCTTTTTTCCTCCGTTAAATAAACTGTCCTAATGGATGCAATTTCTAAAATTTTCTAAATTTTTTAAATAATCCCTAAACGGCTCTAAAATTAAACAAATATTTCGGAATGTACATGTCGATTGTTAAACGAACTATTATTACCCCTCAAACTTTCTTCAAGTTTCAATTACGCATTGGAAATACTAACATTCTTTTAATATCGATATTTATTATCAAATCTATTTTATGTTCCATGTTAATCCATAATCCAATATTTTGTTGCAGCACGACGCTGACAGAGATGGCAGAATTAATACACATGAGCTGAAACAGCTAATCTCGAATGGGTATTGCCAGGACATACCCGCGTATATTGCCGACCAGATACTGAAGCGCGCCGATGACGACAACAGCGGTGCTTTGGACTTCGAAGAGTTCTATCAGATGTCTCTCCGTCAACAGCTAATGTTTCGCAACCTGTTGGCGCTTTACTGTCGGGCTGTGGTGCCGCCACCGACGCCGCGCGGCGATGAGCCGGATGGTGCCTACGAAAGGCAGATGTCTGTCTGTCCACCACCATTAACCATGGTTATCTTCTCCATTATTGAGATTATCATGTTCCTGGTGGATGTCATTCATTTTCAGTGAGTAGTCGAAAAAATGGAATGATGGGAGATCAGCTGCTAATATATAATCCATCCAATTTGTATCCGCAGAGATGATCCCGACCACAATCAACGTCTGGGGGAGAGCACCAACGGGCCGGCTGCGACGCTCTTTATCTACAATCCGTACAAGCGTTACGAGGCCTGGCGTTTCGGCAGCTACATGTTTGTGCACGTCGGCATTATGCATCTCATGATGAATCTAATTATTCAGATCTTTCTGGGAATTGCTCTCGAGCTGGTGCACCACTGGTGGCGTGTGGCACTCGTCTATCTGGCCGGCGTGCTGGCCGGATCTATGGGCACCTCACTAACTAGTCCGCGCATCTTTCTGGCCGGCGCATCTGGTGGCGTCTATGCTCTTATTACGGCCCATATAGCCACAATCATTATGGTAAGCAAACGGAACTGTCCTGCCAGCATGGCTTTTAACTAATATTGAGTGTCCTTTGCCAACAGAACTACTCGGAAATGGAGTACGCGATCATACAGCTGCTTGCTTTCCTTATCTTTTGCTTCACAGATCTGGGCACCTCAATCTATCGCCATCTAACCGATCAACACGATCAGATCGGCTATGTGGCTCACTTATCAGGCGCCATTGCCGGCCTACTTGTGGGCATTGGCGTGCTCCGAAATCTGCAAGTGCGACGCTGGGAAAGGATTCTGTGGTGGATTTCGGTCATCTTCTATTTCGCGCTCATGACCACCGGCATCATTGTCCACATCTTTGTGCCCGACTACTTCCCCAAGCCTGAATACAACTAAGAGAGAAAGCCACCGAATGAGCAAATGAGCGAACGAGCGGCTAAACGACAATTAGCATAAAATTTGATTTCTATTTAAGTGACTCGCATCCAAAGTGCACTTCATCCCGGCCATTGGGTCGCTCATCAGGTCTATACGGCCTGTCTATAACTTATAAGAGAAAAGATTATCATTACACGCACACAGCTGTGCACAAATTTTTTTAACCATTTATCCATTTTACGGAGAGTATTTGCATTTCATACGGACTCAGCGTTGTCCCTTTACATGGACCGCCAAGTGCATATATACATATATATGTACATAAATATACATAAAAAACACTTATACGTTAAAGTAATTTATTATAAAGCGAACATTTTTGTACTAACTTATTATTATGTAATACAGTTAGGGTCCGATTCGTGAGCACAAAAATGCAAACAATCAAATAATTGTTTAACAAATAACTTCGGCAGCTAGAATAAGAAAATGCTTACGAACCCAGAGTTTTATCTTTAAGCAGTGAAACAAATAATTGGCCTTTCGTGAAGACCCTAAATAATAATGTATTTTCATAATGTTACGACAGATTAAACAGTGGAGTGAAGCTCCACCACTGAAACACTTTGCCTTTTATAATGCTGGAAGTAATTAACTGATTAAAGGGCTAAAACCTGTTCATCTGCAACCAAAAACAGTCGTGTTCGGTCTATGGAACCTTTATACTGTATTGGACAGCACTCCATTGTGGTTCTGGGCCTGGAGTGCGGGTATTCTGATAACCGCTAAGCTGCATATTGTGCGTAAAGTTTTTGAAGAGATCCTGGATTTGGAACTGCCGCTAGTCATCCAAAGAAGAGACTGAGAAAGCAAAACATATTTTAAATCAGCGGTGGTCACGAAATTTTAAATCGGGAGCCCTACAACAAATTCTACCGTTAGGGTTGTGAGTGGAAAGCGCCCTCGGAGCACAAAGAGCCACTACGTGCTAGGGATGTAAATCGATAGAAAAAATGCTAATATTAGGGAGAAAATTAACAGAGATGTTTGTTTATAAATCAAGAGAGACTGCCATAGTGTTTTAGTCAATAAAGTACTCGTAATACTGACTTTTGATTAACTTATATGGCTTACTTAATAAAACACATTTTAATAAGAACATCAAATAATTTATAATACAAATATACCTTATACAAATATACCCACGAATAATGTTCGATGTTTGGACAAACATCGATGGATCAACGATGCATTGTTAGCAAAAAAAACATCGATGCATCGTGGTAAGAACATCGTCGATGCTCGATGCTCCTTTGTCCTATTTCTTAAGAGACATTTTCTCTTAATTTCCTTTGTCATAATGTTATAATGTTTCAATGTTACTTTCTTAAGCTTCGGCAAATACTGTTTAACTAATAAGGTCTCATGTGGTAGTAAAAAATAATAATTATAGAAGTAAAAATTGCATTAAACATTTTAAAATAAGAAAGAAACAAATAAGAAATTTCAAAATAAATAAATATAAAAACTGTATTATTCAAATCGGGCGCTAGTATTTGTATAAAACAGAGATCACAGCTGAAAGAAATAGTTTGGGTGAGAATAATAAACATAAATTCTTGTTAGTATTGAGAACTTATAGTAGCATAATAAGGCATTTTTTCTTTTCAATTTCATAACAAAACGATTTTAAGAGAGCCCGCTTTATGAAGTAAATGTCGACCGTCTGGCAACACCGATACACGCCAGCCGCTGGCGAGTTGCTGGCGTGGGAAACGGGCACGAATGTGTACTCGTAAAATCCATACTCATGGAGAAGTATCGAAGCTTTGGTATCGAATTGTTTCACCATCTACTTATCCCTTAAAGTAGAAGTACTAAAGGTGTTTTGTGCGATTATCCTTGTAAATTTCGGTTGTTGGAATTGTTTCCAAGCCTCTGAACTTTGTGCAACGAGAGCAGGTTAACATTTTTATATTTGCAATCGTGCAACAATTCTGAAATAGTTACGCTTTATGTATGCATGTACATACATACATACATCTGAAGCGTCACTCACATTCGCGAAAACAAATGAAATGTTGCATGAAAAAAAGAAGAAGCGACAAAGCGGTAGCAAAAAAAAAAAGGGCAAATGTCAATATGAGGTGTTCATGTTTTTATTGAAATAAATCCATATATTGCAACCATAAGTCAGTAAATTGGGATACTGCTGGTCTGCAGAATTGATTGAAATTGCGATATTGGCTGTGTAAAAATTAAAGGGACGCCACATTACCAGTTTTGTGTTGCTCTCTGCTGACAAAACGAAGAGAGCCGGCACGTGCTCAGCACAGGCAAAGCCAAACAAAAACAAGAGAGCGCAAGGCACGCAAAAAGAAAGAAGATGCGTTAAAAGTAAAATGCGGTTTACAGAAGCAGAAGCTTCAACTAAATCACTAAATATGTATATACCATAAATTTAAAAGCTGTTATGTTAACTAAATAATATTTTACGACAATTGGAAAATGCAATTTCTACATTTGCAATAAAAATAAATCAAATATTCTTGTGATTATAACACGTTTTCACTTTTTATCTTACAGCGTCATGAACATGTCGCCGAGCACAGCTGGTGTATCCAGCAGCAAGAAAAAAAAGCGCAGCAAATCCTCGCCGCGTAACACTGTCAGCGGGGCTTCTACTTCCTCATCGCCGGTCGACGAGGAAAATAACGGCCTTCTTCTAGGGCCATGCTTTGGTCCATTAGCGCGGCACATGGTGCCGGATCCGGACACATTCGAACGTCAGTTAAATGGCGGTGCACCTCAGATTGCTAATAGTAAACACATCCATTATAAAGCATATTTCGTGTATTTATTTCAACAATCTTTCGTAGATAATGAAAATCGCAAATCAAAGAAAAAAAAGGAAAAAATATCCAACGATCGCCGACCCTCAAAGGAGGAATATCTAAGGGGCTGGAGCGGTAATTTTCCAAATCTAACATCAACTCACAGCGGGGAAAGTAACTCGGATTTGGAACAACAGGTAAGTAGGAGTGGAACGGATCATGAAACTGATCCTTGCGCTGCTGCCGCTCCTTCTGTTTCTGTTTGTATTTGTAGAATGCCCGGAGCATACCTTTGTTCTCTCTTTCTCTATCTACGTATGTCTGTATGTATGTATGTATATTTTGGCTTGTGCCAATAGACACCTGCAGAGCTAAAGGCACTGGGTTCTACTGGACGTAGCATATTTCCCAGAGAGGAGCTGCTGCCGACGGTCACGTCCTCATTGCCATTAACAACAACGACTACAACAACAACATTAACTTCGACAGCCTCGACTGCCAACAACAACCCAACTGTAACCTCAACTGTAACTTCTCCAAGTAGATCACAGCCAACAACACCTCCACCAACGACAACAACACCACCACCACAACAAACTACTGTCTTAGCTAACAAGGTGGAATTACTTAGTTCTTAGGCTTTTAGTCGGTCATTAACCCAGAATTCCACTAACGTGCAATCTTTCTTCCAACTTCCCCAATATCTCCTTCAATATGGCTTAGATGGCGCATCGCAAACGTCCTTCTTCCTCATCCTTTAAGGAGGGGGAAACAAAACAGTTGGAAAATGAAGAGGTATTACCACCGAAGCGGCCCAAATCCCGGTTCTCCAACACAAGCATTCAGGCTCCTGTGCTACGCGCCCCCCACAATGATTCTGGCTGGTCAAACATCTCCAACGCCGAAATCGGTTGTACAAGCACTCCCCATACTGAGGCCGATTGGTCGGGAGTCCCCAACGCTCAAATAGGAGGAGCTCGCACTAATGCCCGTTCCAAATCGCTGTGTGTTAATATGGAGCCACCACGACGAACCCATCGCTTTCGCAGCATGTGCGCTAGCCCAGCGGAAATATCTGGCGATTTCCTGTCCCTGAGCAAGCCAGAGCCGAAGACGCCACATCGACGCAAGAGCCAGACCACTGCCAAGCTGCCGGCAACGGATGAGTTCTATAAAAAACCGTTCCAGTTCGGCTGGAAGCGCGAACTCGTTATGCGTCGTGGCCTACCGGTTCGTGGCGACGTATTCTTTATCTCGCCCGCGGGCAAGAAACTGCGCTCTCGCGACGACATTATACCGCTTCTGCAGGGCGATTTAACCATCGACCACTTCTGCTTCCAGCGTGAATCGCAGGGTGTGGGCCCCGAATTCGAATTGGTCCGTCAGTCTCAGCCAGCACGCCGCAAAACGCAACCGCCAGTTAAGACGGAAATCGACACCCCACCGCATGTACTTTCCGGCAAACGTGTGCCGAAGCCAAAGGCTCCAAAGGGTGCCAGCCCGCCGCCCGAGGGCTGGACCTCTACCATGGCTGTCAAAGGAAATGCACGCGTCCTCGCGGCCAGTAATGGCAACAACAGTGCTAGCTCAAGCGGCAATTCTGCTCGCAAACGCAGGTGAGTCGGAAATTCCAAAGTAAACACTACTCTTCCACCATTAAACTGTCAATGCATGCACTTTGGGAAAGGTTATTTTGAAGCCTCCTATGACCCTTGAAACTAACCTCAATCGCTTTGTCACAACCATTGTAGTAATCTGCACAAAGTGAGCTCACACCCTGTGAAGACTCCGCAGGCCAAGTCTCAGGTGGCGGCGGCTGTTCGCAGTCAAAGCACCCCAAATAGCGCGTCCGTGCACTGTGTGCGCTGCCAATCAGTGATTGAGGATCCGCATGAAGGATACAAGCTGAACATATCGGACAGTGAGGGTGTTGTTTATATTTGTGTGGTGAGTATAGCGCACGGTGTAGAATTACCACAGAGTTAATAAATAATTGATGAATTGTCGGTGATTTTGTAGCGTTGTGCGAAGAAAGCAAACGCCGAGGAACGTCAGCCAACATACGACAATGCTGAGAACGAAGTGGCTGCAAATGAAGGGGAACTGCACGCTGAGATAAGGCCATTGCCAGTGACCGAACCAATCGAAAAGCCGGGACAGGAGCCGCCAGCACAGCTGTTGAGCGATGAGCAGATAGGCGCTGCTGCCAGCGCTGCTGGTGGCAAACGGACACCCAAGCCCCAGGAATTGGTGGTGATTACTGGACGCAAGTATGTGTCCGTGTCCGGGGAACCGCCACATCCAAGCATACAAGTGTGAGTCCCAAAAATGCTTATTACCTAATCTCACAAATAAGTTGCTTAGATACATATGTAACGTCACCTCAATATGCTTATCATCTTTCCCTTATAAAATTGACGGCAATTCTGCAGCGTAATGCACGAACGTTACGAAACAAATAGGAACATTCTATTTGTGGGGAAATTTGGGCCCTATATTGTTTAATTTCAGTAATCAGTGCATCGTTATAATGTCTGCTATTCAAGTGACGTTGAGTGTATTTGACTTTTCATTAATTGAGAGTTCTAGACAAATTTTGTGGTTAAAAGTTTACTATGGATGCGTGCGCGCTATTCAAGTTTAAAGCTTTAAAGAGCTTCGATAAAGAATTTTTCTTTCCTTCCACACATATAGTAAGGTATAACGAATCCTCCTGTAATATTATTACTATTATTAGGCTACATTTCGAGTCACGGCGATCTTCTGTAGTCTAATTTGTAATTAGAAAATCATTTTCTACATGAGGTATTTAAGGTCTTTCCCTGCAATAAAAAGAAATATCGCTTGCTAAAATTACATATTTTCCTCTTACCTTTCTTCCTTTTTTTCATCTATGTATGTAATTCTCAATTTCCAAATTTTGTGGTGCAAATGTTGAGTAGAATTATGAGTTAGAATTAACGATGTATTCAAATTTTTCCTAGAATTTTTGCCTTGATATGGACTTGGGCTCTAAATAAATGATTTCTAAAAAGGCCATTTAGAGATGGGTGGGTGCCTTAGATTGCTTTGTCCTTCATGAAAAAATACTCTCATGTTTATTTTAGCAACAATGCGCATTTTCTATAATGTTTTTTTTTTTTGTTTTGTTCGCAGTATTCCACGGGAACCGGAGGTAACGAGCCACGAAAATAATAGCTGTAAAAATATTTGCTCAAAAGAGCTTACGGCTGGCATTCTAGAGTATCTGAGCATGGCTAGCAAGGCCATACCAGTTCTGCGGGCTGTGCTGTTGACATTAAACTTGGCCGTAAGTACAGTGCAGCCTTGCTTTTGAGCGAGCGCTTTGGGTTCTTAATTAATTTATTTTCTTTGTATTTGCAGGAACGCAAAAAGGTGGCTCAGGTATGTCAGGGTTGGCGCTTAGTCTCGAGGGATCCCAGCATCTGGCAAATTGTCTCGCTGCGCAATACGCGAATTAAGAATTGGAGCGAATGCTTGAGCGAGCTGGCCCGCCAAAAGACCCGTCACCTGGACATGTGGGGCGTTGAATTGTCGCGCGTTATGCGTCTGAGTGGCGATTTGCGACTCCTAAAGTCACTGCGAACTCTGCGCACCGATATCTGCGACTCGGCGTTTATACGTCTGGTAATTAAGTATTTGCCACAACTGCAGGAGCTACGCATCACAACCTCAAGTCGCTCAATCAGTCTGGAGCATATGGAGAAGATGGTGGGATTGCGTTATCTGCATATTCGTATGATAGAGGTGCGGGGCAGTATTGCCTCCTTGCAGCCGATTCTACAGCTCGGTGGACTCACCCGTTTGTCCCTGCGCGGCGTTGGCAACATGCGTCACCTCGATATCCTCAATCTGCATAATCTGCCGCTGGAATCGCTGGTGCTTGGTTCCTGCACCGGCATGCCGACCATGGAGTTTGGTCGTCAGGTATTGCCGCGTATGCACAAACTGAAACACTTGCGGCTGGAGAATCGTCACAGTGTCAGTACAGAGTTTCCTGTGGCGGATATCATGGCTGGGATTGGGGATGGCACAAAAGTGGAGCGCTTGGAGCTCGTAAATGTAGACATAGATGAGCATTTCAGCGAGCAGCTGAACGGCTGCAAATTTGTGCGCGAACTACTACTGATGCCCAATTATATAAACAATGCCGCGAATACAACGAATGCCATTATGCAGGCGATTAGCGAGAATGCGGAGCGTCTGGTGTCCTTTAAGCTTGGCCTTACCGTCGAGCTGCTACGCATGACCGGCACTTTGTGCCACACTGATAAGGATAAGCACTGCATTCCCGTCGTTCGTCCTATACCAGGCGTTATGCTACACGATCGCCTCAACGACGTCCCCAAACTACCGAGCTACGCACCCCGCGAATGGGCCTTTCTGCCAGTGGAGCGTCTTGAATCAATTCTGCATCACATGATGCCGCAAGCCATTACCATTGTGGCCCAAGTGCCACACAGTGAGACCATGCTCCTGCAGTTCTAATGGAATACGTGGTGCGGCCAAGAGAGTCAAGACTTAATGCATGTACTTCACGTTATTATTTTACCACGAAACACAACCAACACAACTCAACCCAAACCATGTTGTAAACAACACACATTCATCGATTCATTAGATTTAGTTTATTTGTATGTATAATTGACAACGTTGTAAACACTTTGAATTTCACACGGATTGAACATTAAACCCTACAATTTTTAGTTTGCATTTAATAAACTGTTTTTCTATCATCCCTGTGTAGGGCCCCCACCCTAACTAAATACTTGGCACCACTTCCAATGAATACACACAGATACCTTTTAAATTCGTTTCATCCCATCTGATTGGCAAATATTTTCCTATATATGATCTTCTGGAACAAAACCCATGTATTGCCTAAGACAGTCGCAACTTTCATGGACTCCCGAATATTTTGGAAGCGGCTCTATCGTTATAGAGTAGATCCCGAAAAATGCGTGTGCTTTCACATTGTTTTGTATCTCTGGTCATTATATATCAAAGGTCTTCAAGTTTCTATTACAGAGGCATCATTCTTGCCCCTAACATTTCTTAAAAGTTCGAAGTTTCTCGTAACTTACCCATTAATCTTTTGATCCAAAACTCAGCTGAAGTAAGTGACTACCTGCTTAAGTAGCTTATAGTTAGCTTTAGCTGGGCATATCAATCCAAGACTTATTAGAGGGCTTCAGTTATTTTTAGTCTGTGAATCGACGTCCCAATGTGTTGCTTATGACTCAGATAGGTGGCAGCAAGTGAAGTTCCGTCCATTTTCCCGGGAACTTTTGACTAACAACTGCTGTTTGGTGGCTATTGGCCGACCAGTTGGGGCTTTGTTCTGTTTATTGGCTTGATGGCGAGCTTGAGTTGCCAGTCGTCGATAGCTAAGCAGCGAAAACAGTTGCCACGGCACCCTCTTAGACAATGTGGTCGAAATTTTGCCGTTGCCTCGTCGGTGGCGGCAACTGCAGTTGCTGTTGTGGTGCCAAGAAGGGGCTGGCCGACGAGGACTCCTTGGCCGGCTCCTACTTTAAACGCGTCACGCTGCCCATTGACGAGTTACATAACTGTACGGTGGCCAGAAGTGCGGCAGCACTAGACGACATCGGCGGCACCGACACAGCGCCACGCAGCTCTACGGGCTCCTCCACCCTCACCATCACGGCGCACGGTGTCTCTACAGGCAACAGGCTCCAGGCCGAGAACATGGAGGTGGACGAGCAGGTCATAAAATTTATTCTCGGCCTCTTTGGCAACGGCGAGGAGCGGGTGGCTTGCGAAACTCTGCCATCGTCCGTAGAGCAACCGCAGTCGGTGGTCGGCGAGACCCAACACATGTTGGGAGGCACATATATATGTGGCGCCAGTGGTGTCAGTGATGGCGATCGCTGAGTCAACAATACTGGAAAATACTTATAAGTATAAGCATCTGTTCAAATTTCAACGTGACGCACTTCATTCTTTCAAAACAGAACATTCTCGCATTCAAATCTATTACTATACTATCCTATAATGTTACACATATATTTATATGTTTGTATGTATGTATTTAATCGTATACGATATTGTATAGCAATATTATTGCTTTAATTCTAAGGCACTGTTATTCAAATTTTCAATGAAGATTAATGTTAGAAATGATAACATACATTGAAATAAAGAATCCCTTCGACTCCGGGGATAGTTCCCGGATTGTGGCTAAGACTTATTGTAATAATAATTATATGTTGTTATTTTTGGTAACCTATTAAAATACTGCACTATTAGTATGCATCCAAACTACCATTTGAAAGTACGTGGCAAGTCGCTCTGACGTCTGTCAGTTTCGAAAAGGATTGTCAAATTTTAGGTTTGTCCATCTTCAGGTCAGTTCTATACCTGAGCCACCACATTTGGCCCAGAGGTTCTCCCAAAACAGCCGGCATAGGGAAATCTGAAATTCTTTTCCATTAAAAAAACAAAAGAGCTTCAACTATTTTTAAAAGCGGCACTGCCTTCGTTTCTTGTGGGCAAACAAAATATTATAAACATGAATCGTCAGATCTGTGGGTAATAACAGCTCAAGATTACCAGTGGGTTTTTTTTTCTGGGACTTCAGCATTATTGTACTGAATAAAACTTTATTTGCTCGCAATGAGAAGACAAGAAGCTGAGATTAATGCGAGCTTAGCGTTAATTGCAGGACTTCCTTGCTCCTTCTATAGCCTTGTGTAATCTCTCCTTTCTTTTAATATTTTCAACCCCACATGTGAAAATCGTGCCGGTGTGTGTGCTTCTTCTTCCACCACCATATAGAAATAGTACAAATATCTCTATAAGAATATTGCCATTGGATCTGAGTGATTTTTCACGAGCGGCGTCTAAACAACTGCCATAGACACTTTGTTTCTGTTGTGTACAAATAATTGAAAGAATTCTTATTTGGTTTCAGCTTCCTTCGAAATTACTTACGCGTACGTCAGGAACTCATCTACATACATATGTATATAGGAAACGGGCCAGCTATGCGAAGACAGCTGAGGAAATCATTTGGAAATATTAAGCCTATTGGCATTTTGCCGCTCATCGGTGAATATTCTTCAGAAGATTTGAAAATACGAGCATCATGAGCATATAGGGTCCGAGTCAGGGGCATTGACGAGTGCTGCAAAAAATATATTTCGAGAATCGGGGGACCTTTAAATCTTAGCTGAACTTACGGAGTTTGCTGCCGTCCTTTTCCTCTCTTCGAGGATTTTTATACCTAGTGTTAATACTTGTATATGTTTTGGCGGTTATACCAATAGGGTATGCGTGTATCTCTCTCGTTTGGAGGTGTCTTGTCTATCATGTATGCTGCATAGATTTGTACTTTCTGGCTCTGAAGCACTCTGGAAAATCTGGAGTAGTAATACTTTCTAAACTGGCTTGAGCGGATTATTGGAAAGATACAGTTTGCGCTGTCTTTTTTTTGCATTGATGTATATCTGAGTGGATAGAATATCAGCAGTTTTCGGCTTGTCTTTTGTATCTATTGTGTCCATGTCTATGAAGTGCGAAAATTATGGATACGCCAACTATCTGAATTCAAAATATGTACTTAGAAGAGAACCAAGTTTTGAAAAGTTATTGTAGTTCTACTCCTATATAGAACAATCCAAGTCGGACCGTCCGCATACTTACTGCTTTAGTGTGAATATATGTGTTTAATATAACGAACTTCAAGGAGTTATCCTCAAAGAAATCAAACGCAAAACGATGTGCAATAATATTTTTTACAAAAAGGTAAGAAACAAAAGAGGAAAAAAACACCGTATCTAGAAATGGTTTCACTTTTCGCTTAAAACTAAATATTTTACTTTTTTCACTTTTTTAATTTTTGTTTTGGTTTTTGTGATGTTTGTGCTTCCCATTCCAATTTAAAACGGAACATTTTGAGTTCGGACTGCGAAATGTGGGAATGACAGCGATAGGCTAGGCCTACCGACCGAGTGAGACAAATTTAACTCGTGTGCTAAGTACAATGAGACAAAACTAGAGAATTTCTGAACAAATTCTTATCAGCAATACGCACTCAATTTGGTTTTTTATGGTATTTGTATGCTTTAGAATTCCCATTTAGCTATAGCTCTCATTATATTCATAGGCATAACTCCGCGGAACAAGTCTTTTAATACAGGAGAAACGTCAAGAGTGATTTCTGCACCGATCAGTCCTATGGCAGCTGACATATGTATACTTGTATGTATACAAAAATAATGAGGCTATATGTATCCGGTTTGAAATAAACTGCCTCAGGGTATGGATAAGTCTACACAATAAGTCTTCAAACCAAGTCTATATACATACATACATACATATGTATGTATGTATACACATGTCCGAAGCGTCACTCACATTTACGCACACAACTGTACTTTTGCAAGAAAACAAAGAAAAGAATGAGCAAATTCCAATGAGGTTTTCATATTTTTTATTGAAATTAACCCATATATGTATGTACATACATATGTATGTATGTGCATGTGTATTTTATCTTTTATATCTCTTTTTTAGAGCACTTCTGTTTGGCAATAAAATTACCTGAATTTATGATGTTGGTTGCGTAAAAATTAAATGGACGCCGCATTACCATTCGCGTTGCTTTTTGCTGCCGATTGTGAGAGAGAGCCGACACGTGCTCAGCAACGGCAATGCCAACAACAAGAAGTGAGCATAAAGCACGCAAAAAGTAAGAAGAAGATGCGTGCAAAGTTAAACCGAATTATACCTTGCAAGTATCTTCTTCTTTCTTTCTGCGTGCGTCCGTTGTGGTCTCTTGTAACACAAAAATATCAGACAAAACGCTAATTACTTAAAATAATTCGTGGGTTGTTATAACAGCTAAATATTTTGTAAGTCGAACGGGGAATGCATTTTTGTACATCAACAATAAGAATACATTAATAAGTAATGTTGGTTTATGTAACTTAACCACGTTTTCAACTTTTATCTCACAGCGTCATGAACATGTCGATGAGCACCGCTGATGTATCCAGCAGCGAATTCCCGCCACGTAACATTGTCGGCGGGGCTTCTACCTCGTCTTCTCTGGTCGAAGAGAAAAATAACGGTCCACTTCTTGGACCATGCTTTGGTCCATTAGCGCGGCACATGGTTCCGCACCCGGACACATTTGATCAGCACTTAAATGGCGATGCACCAAGGATTGCTAATAGTAAGCACATCCAATTACAAAGCATATCTCGTGTATATATTTTGCAACAATCTTTCGCAGATAATGGAAATCGCAAATCGAAGAAGAAAAACAAGAAGAATAAGAAAGAAAAGAAGGAAAAAATATCCAACGATCGCCGCCTCTTAAAGGAGGAATATCAAAGGGGCTGGAGCGGTAATGTTCCAAATTTAACATCAACTCCCAGCGGGGAAAGCAACTCGACTTTGGAAAAACAGGTAAGTAGGCGTGGAACGAATCCTTGCGCTCCTTGCACTGCTTCTGTTTGTAGAATGCCCAGAGCATACCTTTGTTCTCTCTTTGTCCTCATTGCCATTAACAACAACGACTACAAGTCGCCCACTAAAGCTAGAATTCCACTAACATGTAAACTCTCTTTCAACTCCTCCAATCTCGGCTTTCTCCGTCTATTCGATTTAGAAGGGGCATCGCAAGCGCCCGTTTTCTGCATCCGATATGGAAGGGGACACAAAAAAGTTCGAGGGTGAAGAGGCTTTGTCACCGAAGCGATCCAAATTCCGCTTCTCGAACACCAACACTGAAGCCGCAGTGCCACGCGCCCTACACAATGATTCTGGCTGGTTAAACATC